TTTTTCTAATGATATATTCAAGTCCATTCTGTAATATGGAGACCAGAACCTGAGCTGCATAATCTAGTGAGGCCTACTAATGATGTAATAAAACTGTAATATAAACCTCTGAACATCTGTTGCTTACACTTCATGATACCTCCTGAATTTGTTTTTTCAATCTAAAACCATTGCTTGTGATTTCTCTCTAGTAAGATATTTAGCACGCTATTTACACACCTTTATTAATTTCCTGTTTTCCATTTAATACACCTCATCATATCCCCCCTAATACTACTCCTTTCTAAATAATTAAGTAATCAGTCCATCACCCTCAAGTCGTAGATTTTAGGTTGTCATCCCCTCACCCTGGAGACGTTCTGACCAAATCTGGAACTAACAGGGGGGGGGGGGGGGGGTGAAGATCTGAACTACTAAAGAGTGCAGATTCAGGTCCTCAGTCTATTCTCATGGAAGATATTTGATACATGGATCACTTTTCATCCTCCTAAGTTACGTTTTTCCAGTGCATATATATCCATTCTGTAATACGGTGACCAGAAACTGAGCACATAGTCCTAAAAAGACGCCTGACCAAGGATATATAGATTGAAAAACAACCTCCGGACATCTTAATTTATACTTCTGCTAATGAAGCCAAGGATTCGTAGCTTTAATGCGAACACTTACACTGTTGTCTTGGTTTCAGGTTACTGCAAACCAGAACTCCTAAATACTTTTTGCAATCCCGTAATAATTAAGATCTACATATTTAGTTTATATGTGGCATGGTATTTTCCTGTCCAACATTTAGAACTTTTGCATTTGTCTTAATATTAAACTGCATCTGCCCACTTCTCCGACCAATGCATCATCTATTCAAATCATCCTGGCGTGGCTCTAGTGTCCTCATTAGAAAGAATTGGACGGCCTATTTTGTGTCCGACAGCATATTTGCTATGTCGAATTTAATTCCTTCATCTATGTCGTTTACGTAAATTGTGACATACAGTGGCCCAACACTGACCCCTGAGGAAACACCGCTGTGACGTGCCCCCATCTGATTTTCTCCTCACCCTTGATTCTTTTATACAAACTCTCTGCTGCCTATTTGTCAACCATACCTCTACCCAGGAAAAATTTTCTCCTCCTATCCCGTGTGCCTTAAGTTTCCCCAGTAGCCTCTGATGTGGAACTCTATCGAAAGGCTTACTGAAGTCCATATACACTATATCATATTCAATACTGTGATCTACCTCCTCAAATACCTTAGTGAAAAAAGTTAGTAAATTGGAGAGCGTCAAACCCGTGTGTATGTATATATAAATCATGTGACACAAATTAGTTTTTATTAGGATTATATATAAATAATTCATACTGAGTCAATCAGTGAAAATCTTAACACAGTTCTCGCATTGATTTTTGTTTGGATTTTTTTTATATTTTTATGTGATACAAGAATATCATAAATTCTTCGCTTATTATTTTCATTTGTATGCAAAATCCGTCATGTGATCCTTCAACACCCCATATAAACATGGGGTTAGTGGTTCTTGTGATCCTTTCACCACCAATATAAACAAGGATACTGTTTTCTTATAATCCATCACACCTCACATATATGGGATTCATTTCATTACAAACCCACAAATAATATTCTTCATAGGATTAAAATAAAAATACCTTTTCCACTGTCACATATTTATTATAAAAATATATAATACTCTTATCTACATACTCGGTCGTTCAACTTGACCAAAATATTCAACAAAACCTGTACAATCACCAAGGTGTTAGTAAATTATTAGTAGTATTACATTCTTGGGAGAAGCTATAAACCCATAGGGGTCAAAACAGCGCCTGGAGGATTGGTAGGCAATCAGGTTCGATCCAAGGAAGGGGAAGTCAGATCCAATTCTTTGAATCATAGAACCTTCCCAAAAGGGTGCAAGTACAGCATTAAGGACAACAGACGGCGCAGCGCTCTGACTTAACCTAGCCAGACTTGACTTAGACCTGACCTAGTCAGACTTGACAAAGTTAGACCTGACCTAGCCAGACTTGATTTAGTTAGACCTGACCAAGCTAGACTTGACCTAGTTAGACCTAACCTAGTCAGACTTAACCTAGTCCGAACTGAACTAGCCAGACTTGACCTAGTTAGACCTGACCTAGCCAGACTTGACCTACTTAGACCTGACCTAGCCAGACTTGACCTAGTTAGACCTGGCCTATCCAGACCTGACCTTAATATACTCTTCACATCTCGCTCTACCAGAACATAAATTTAAATTTTAGGCAATTAATATTTCATGTTTTAATGTATAAAAGCGCAGCTCAGTGACAGCATTCGGCTCACAACCAAACGGTGCTAGACTCGATGCCCGGGTAGAGAGCAGTATGGATAAATCTCATGACAACTGCTACTCTTGATGGCCAAACTAGAAATAGGAAACTTTGAACCTCTAGAAAAATAAGATGTGCAGGTTGACTTAATAACCTCGTATTAAATATATCTACTTCAACATGACGGGTTCCATTTTTCCTATACGACTACCAAAACCAGTATCTAAATCACAACTTGCTCTATTTTCTGGTTAATTACAAATAATATAATTAAATACATTTTTGGTAAGCAATGCTGAATTCCTCGTCGCTAGTCTCCTCGTGAAAAAAAAATAATAGGGTTCCGAAGTAAATTTAAACTGATTTTGTCCGTACTATTTTGAGAGGATAGCTAGAGAAGTACAGTTTATTACTCAGTGATAAGTTCTTTAACAGTCTTGTATTTAAAGGCATAAAATATATTTCTAATTCACCCAACTCGGTTATTCTTTTTGTAAGTAAATAGATTCTAAGAATATAAAAAATTCATGTACAGACTCGCGTGTCACGAGGTAATATTTCACTAAGACAAGGACATGTCACCCCGACCTTGCATGCGGGACGGTAGGTGCCTTCATACTGGTCAAGGGCTCTTGACACAAGGAATTGGCGCTGCCGTCCCCTTCCTCGGATCAAACCCAGGGTACTATATGACCCTTACGGGTTTTGCGCTTCCCCGTGAATAAAACATACCACTCACATATGCATTTACACTCATTTACAACAATATAAATATGATTGTTTACATTATTGCGTGTAAGTTACAAGGTTGTGGCAGTCTTTATAACAATGGCCGCTGCGGGGGAGGGAGAAGGAGCATTTAAGAGATTTATTATCAACCATTGGTAGGGTAACATCCTGGGAGTCAGGGTTACACCCAGGGGAAGAAGGAGAGCACCCTGGGAGGCAGGGGACCACCCTAAAGGAGCACTGTCACTTCTGAAGACCCACCAGGTGGCTGCAGATGGGGGTGTTGTCCTCTCGGAGACATAGCTACGCCTCCAGCAAGATACAAATGGTAAGCCTATTAGTTCCTCGTGGATCAGTGGGTGAGAGAGTGGTATTCCGTAGTCTTCCTCAGTGGTTTATGTCATGGTTTTCTTCAGTCGTTTATGTCATGGTCTTCCTCAGTGGTCTGTGTCATGGTTTTCCTCAGTGATTTATGCCATGGTCTTCCTCAGTGGTTTATGTCATGGTCTTCCTCAGTGGTTCCTGTCATGGTATTCCTCGGTGGTTCCTGTCATGGTCTTCCTAAGTGGTTTATGTCATGGTCTTCCTCAGTGGTTTATGTCATGGTCTTCCTCTGGTTTATCTCATGGTCTCCCACAGTGGTTTATGTCATGGTCTTCCACAGTGGTTTGTCATGGTCTTCCTCAGTGGTTTATGTCATGGTCTTCCTCAGTGGTTTATGCCATGATCTTCCACAGTGGTTTATGTCATGGTCTTCCTCGGTGGTTCCTGTCATGGTCTTCCTCAGTGGTTTATGTCATGGTCTTCCTCAGTGGTTTATGTCATGGTCTCCGTCAGTAGTTTATGTTATGGTCTTCTTCAGTGGTTTATGTCATGGTCTTCCTCAGTGGTTCATGTTATGGTCTTCCTCAGTGGTTTATGTCATGGTCTTCCTCAGTGGTTCATGTCATGGTCTTCCTCAGTGGTTTATGTCATGGTCTTCCTCAATGGTTTATGTCATGGTCTTTCTCAGTGGTTTATGTCATGGTCTTCCTCAGTTTTTTGTCATGGTCTTCCTCAGTGGTTTATGTCATGGTCTTCCTCAGTGGTTTATGTCATGGTCTTCCTCAGTGGCTGATGTTTTGGTCTCTCAGTAGCTGATGTCATGGTCTTCCTCAGTGGTTTATGTCATGGTCTTCCTCAGTGGCTGATGTTTTGGTCTCTCAGTAGCTGATGTCATGGTCTTCGTCAGTGGTTAATATCTTTGTTTTCGCCATTGCTTGAGGTTTAGTTTTTTTTATTTCTGGTGTTTCTCCACACCAGATAGGGAATCCTTCCTTATAAATATACCGGAACGAGTTGTATCACGGGAAAATGCTAGTCCGAAACCGGGCGGTTTGGGAATTTTTGTCATCTGCCCGAGTACATTCTCAAATTCCTCGATTCAGAAAAATCCACGATGAATCAAAGTCTTAATGGCATTAAATTCAAGCAAGCCTGGAACAAAAGACAAGAAGTCAGTACTAGTGAATTTTGGTCTGCGATATACATAAATCTCAAAACAAGTAACACTGTAATTATCACAGCTATTTTGAGTAGCCGATGACATCGCCTTTGGTCTTGTCTATCAGTAGATGACACTCTTCGTCAATTACTGGTTAACACTGTCTTCATCAGTTAGTGGTTAACATTGTCTTCATCAGTTAGTGGTTAACATTGTCTTCATCAGTTAGTGGTTAACATTGTCTTCATCAGTTAGTGGTTAACACTGTCTTCATCAGTTAGTGGTTAACATTGTCTTCATCAGTTAGTGGTTAACATTGTCTTCATCAGTTAGTGGTTAACATTGTCTTCATCGGTTAGTGGTTAACATTGTCTTCATCAGTTAGTGATTAACATTGTTTTCATCAGTTAGTGGTTAACATGTCTTCATCAGGTTAGTGGTTAACATTGTCTTCAAACAGTTAGTGGTTAACACTGTTTCATCAGTTAGTGGTTAACATTGTCTTCATCAGTTAGTGGTTAACATTGTCTTCATCGGTTAGTGGTTAACATTGTCTTCATCAGTTAGTGATTAACATTGTTTTCATCAGTTAGTGGTTAACATTGTTCTATCATCAGTTAGTGGTTAACGTTGTGTCTTGGTCAGTCAGTGGTTAACATTGTCTTCCGTCAAGTAATGGAACTTGGCATTATAATTAGGTAGCTCGATGTGTTGATTATCCTTGAGCACTCTGTTATGTGTAAATGTAAGAAACCTGCTGTATCAGATCACAGAGTCAAAAAAGAGATCACTTCCATTCGTACAAAGATGCTTTTAACAAAAATATAAATAGAATTATACATTTCAATCATTTTTAAGTGTAGTTGTCGAGTACTTAATTAATATAAGTTAAATGGTGGAAATTTGATCTTTCTATGCAGTTTGTGATTCCTCTATTAAAATTTTATCATCTTGAGTGGTACCTTAAGGTGTAAGAGACGAGGTTATGACTTCCATTGAAAGTACAAGACAAAGATGGACTACTGGCTGGACAGTGCCAGGAAGCCACAACATATTGCCAGGACTGCCTAAAGCAGACAAGCTTGAAATACTATATCTTGACTTAAGTTGTATTATCAAGTCACACTATATTGTTATATTTAGGGGTGGAAAACGCTAAACCCGTAAGGGTCATACGGCGCCTAGGGAATGAGAGGCAATCAGATTCGATCCATGGAAAGGAGTTTTAATTCCTTAGATCAAAAACCCCTCACTAGCATCAAGGACCTTCCCTTGAGGGAATATAGATATTCATTAACTAGCTATATCCCCTATATATAAATTATCACTTATATATTAGCTATATTCGTTGCTATTGAACACTGGCACCAGCTATACACATTACTATATATGGTTTTGAAGACGGTGCTATAAATTATTGACAATGAGTATATGTAAGGATGATATTATTGTAATATGTCAAAGAGCCAGCAGATCTCAGTCTCCTCTGTTTCTTACTCATATCACAACCTCTCTGATATAGATGAATTGTAATAATTTTTCAGTGTTTCAGTATCCATGGAAAAATATATGCATTGTTTCACCTTTTATCATAAAATAGTAGGAATTTTGTGATTAAAAATCTGTGCATATAAATTTTAAAGAAATTAAAAACCTATTTGAGCATATGCTTACTAGCAAAGATCTTTTGAATATATAATATTCATTTATTTACGAATTCTTACAAGTGAGAATTAGTGCCTCTTACGACGACAGTTCCCGTTTATCAACTCTCGAACACCATGGACGCCCCCGGCTGGTGAACCCTGGAGGAAGTGCCTCTTTATGTATCCGTCGTACGCAGGATGAAGACGGCACGAGAGGTGGCACTAGCACTGTGAATCCCGTAGAGGCATTGCCACCTTATGTACACACTGTGCGTGGGACGAAGGGGGCAAGAAATGTGGCACTGGCGCTGTGGAGTCCGTGCCACCTTAGGCAGATGTCTAGTATTAAAGATGCCATGAGAGGTGGCAATAGCACTGTGGATACCGTGGAGATAGTGCCATCTTAAGCAGACATCTTATATGCTGCACGGAAACGGCACGGGAGGTGGCACTGACGCTGTAGGGTTGTGCCGTCTTAAGTAGACGTCTCGTGCTGAACGAAGACAGCACGGGAAATAGCACTGGCACTATGGATCTGCACCTCCGCCTGCATGCTTGGGCTATCTCCGCCGATTTCCCGCTCTAGTCCCTTGTTGTCTACAGCAACCACGACAATATCTTCGACTGCACCCAGCGGGGGTTGCATGGATACGGCGGGTACGTGAGAATACTGGTGCCCCGGACGGCGGGCGCAGCACATTATGCGAGTGATGAGGTCATCGTAGGGTTGTAGAGAGCGCAGTGGCAAAGGCAGCCAGTGCCATGTGCGCAGCACTGGGGGCAGACATTTGGGGAAGCGTACCTGAGATATATTGATGAATATGACAATAAATACAAATATGGCAATTGGAATGAAGACACTGTACATGACGACGGGTCCGCCCAGGGACACGGAGAACACGAAGAGTGGTACAATGGCGAACGTCATCACCATATAGAGGACGGCGAACCAGCGGTATTTGGCAGTGATCTTACCCAGAACAAGAGCCATACGCACGGGAAGTCGCAGGAAAGGTATGGGATAGAATAGAAGCAGGCCCGTCACGTTGAAAAAGAGGTGCACAAGGGCAATCTGAATGGCAGGACGGAGGCTAGAAGCGTCTGAGGCGAGGGCAGCCAGGAGGGCCGTGGTAGTAGTGCCCAGATTGGAGCCCAGTGTGAGGGGGTAAACACGCTCCACGCTGATCATGCCCAACCCCACCAGTGGGGTCAGTGTGGAGGTGAAGATGGAGGAAGACTGTAGGATGAAGGTCATGATAGCACCGGCGAGGATGGCCAAGTAACCCGTCAGCCATGGCACCCGGGGCAAGTCTGCGTTGAGCACCCGCTGCACCACACCTGCCACTGACCCTGCAACACACATATTGTAAGACAACACCTGCAACACACATATTGTAAGACAACACCGGCAACACACATTGTAAGACAACACCTTCAACACATACATTGTAAGACAACACCTTCAACACATATACTGTAAGACAACATCTGCAACACATACATTGTAAGACAACACCTGCAACGCAATCTACTTCTGTTATGGAAAAAATGTTAAAAAAAACACCTCCTGAATTTAATGTGATTTATCATACTCGAGAACAAATCTGAAGGACATCTTTTGCAGGCAGCCTATCAGGTGTCCGCCCGTCATTCCTACCCAGGCACTTCCTCTCTCCACTGTCTTTCTACACTCAGAAATTGTATATCTTTACTGTCCCATCATACTGACATGGCTGTTCTAATAATCAGAGTTCATTACTTAGAATGATCATTTTACTTAATTATTCCGTGCTCATATAACTTAGTTATGTTACAATGAGCACTTGCATCAACCTACTTTAACTAACCTGTAAAATAATTTAAAGGTATATATCATCTTATGTCTGCTGGAAATGCATTGTAATCAGCTTATCCATGTGTAACACAACCAATGTTGTTTATTCTCTCTTATACAACTGTCATCTTGGAAAATATATTTGTTATGCCAAAAATTAGAATATAATGTGGTGTTGAGGCAGCCGTACACAAAACATCATCAGAGTAAAACAGAAAAAAATAAATACATTACAAAATGGCTCCCAGGGATAAGTAATATAAAGTGCAAAATAGAAGAAAAACAATGAATAAGCCCATTAAAAAAGATATTATTTACAACTCAAGTGGAAGAATACCGAAGACGGGATAAGATTTTGTTCGGACTTTTAACCCAGGAGGGTTAGCCACCCAGAATAACCATGACAGTCAGTGAGTCATCGAGGAACTGTCTTATTTTCATGGTGGTCCTCAATCTTGTCCCCCAGGATACTACCCACACCAGTCGACTAACATCCAGGTACCTACTTGCATGCTAGGTGAACGGGACAGCAGGTGTAAGGAAACACGCCCAATATTTCTACCCTTGCTGGGGATCGAACCACGGACACTGTGTGATGCTAGAGCGTTGCCTACCAGGCCACAAGCTACCAGGCCACGGGCCATCAGGCCATGAGCCACCAGGCCACGAGTCACCTGCCCATGAGCCACCAGGCCACGGGCCACCAGGCCACGGGCCACCAGGCCACGAGCCACCAGGCCACAGGCCACCAGGCTACGAGCCACCAGGCCACGGGCCACCAGGCCACGAGCCACCAGGCCACAGGCCACGGACCACCAGGCCACGGACCACCAGGCCACGGGCCACCAGGCCACGGGCCACCAGGCCACGAGCCATCAGGCCACAGGCCACCAGGCCACGGGTCACCAGGCCACGAGCCACCAGGCCACGGGCCACCAGGCCACGAGCCACCAGGCCACGGGCCACCAGGCCACGGGCCACCAGGCCACGAGCCACCAGGTCACAGGCCACCAGGCCATGGGCCACCAGGCCACGGGCCACCAGGCCATGGGCCACCAGGCCATAGGCCACCAGGCCACGGGCCACCAGGCCACGAGCCACCAGGCCACGGGCCACCAGGCCACGGGCCACCAGGCCACGGGCCACCAGGCCACGGGCCACCAGGTCACGGGCCACCAGGCCACGGGCCACCAGGCCACGGACCACCAGGCCATGAGCCACCAGGCCACAAGAGGAATACCATAAACATAGATAATCTCGAGTAACTACAGTTCGGTAATCACAGACAGGAGTTAAAAAATAAGGAAAAACAAAAAGACGTAACCACAAACAAGGAATAACAAAGGGGATCACAAATAGGATATAATAAAGAGGGGATTATAAATTGGGAATAACAAAGAGGTAATCACAAATAGGGAATAAAGAGGGAATCATAAATAGAGAATAAGAGGTAATCACAAATAGGAAATCACAAGACAGGAATATCCCATAAATATTCAAAGTAATCAAAATTGGAGGAGCAAAGAGAACAGAGGAAAAGCATCACATGGGAAGAGCAACTCTGAGAATCAAAGAAGACCAAGGTCCCAGGAGTAAACCTCACGCCCAACCTATCTCAAGACACACATATAGCACACTCTTAAATACAAAAACTGACACACATACTAGTGAACAACAAGAAATCATTGAGGACCCTTTCAAGAAGGGAGAACTACTTTGATGCTGGTGGAAAGTTCTTGATTCTAGGAACTAGAGCTACCCTCCGTTTCGTCGGATCAAATTTCCGGTTCCCAAAAACTCAACTTGGTAAACACGAAGTGGGATGTGCAATTTTCTTATTTTATAACCAAAAAGGGTAAACTTTGGCGTAAGTGTACATTAATAGCTCTAGCAAAGAAAAATCAGGTTATGCCTTAAATTTAGGCATGAATGAACATCGGGAAACCTAGAAATAAAGCTGGTTCAAGCTTGTAAATCAAATGGGATTTAAATATTCCTAGAAAAAACCCACCATTGTAATTTTTTTCACCAACACTACAATGCACTGACATGTAGCGTTGTGAGGCATGAAGGGCGCTAAGACTTACCCTTGAGCATAGAGCTGAGTGTCTTGACAATGGAGATGAGGCAGAGTGTGAGGAGGATGAGTGAAGCAGCCAGCAGCACCAGACCGACGCCAGTATCACTCAGAGGTAGATGCGCTGCCAAGGTGCTGCCTGTCACATATACATAAACACATTAAGATCATAAAATCGGAAGATTTTGTTCGGATTAGTAACGCAGGATGTTCCAAGAAAGTCAAGTAACGTAACTTATTTCCGTTTGTGTCCTCAGATCATTTTCCGGAATATGACTCTCAGTTATCCATTGACTGCTAGGGAACGATTAACAGGTGCTAGGAAACCTAGGCATACGTCCCTTCCCGCCTAGGTTCAACTGATCTATGGGTAGGCCAAATGGCCTATACTAGACAGGTTCAACTCACACCCAATCTTACCAGCAATGACACTACAGGTGCTTGACAGTTCTACTTAACTACAGCTCTATACAAACCAGTGCTTGCTTATATGCCTTCTAAATCACAACTTGCGTTATTATGTGCTGGAATGCGGTAAAATGACTTTGCCTATTGTAAATAACTCATAACCACTTAAAGCTTGTTTAAATTTAACATAACTTGCTAAACTGTGTAAGGTAATATAAAACTAATTCAGAACTACATATAAGATACAATGCAAAATTTTTGTGACTTAATTCACGTCTGCACAAATATGCCGATGTAATCTTTTGACTACGTCCCCTGAAATGCAAGTATTGCATTCCAGGTTGCCAGGTTGTCTTTCTAAGAGTAAATATTGTTGAAAGGGGTATTTTTTAAGTTTATTCTCGACCGTGTAGGTCTTATCAGTATGGCGAGAAAGTTTTTGTGGTGCATAATAGATATTAAACTAACCTTAAACTAATATAAGGTCATCAAATGTAGACACTGGTTCAATGGAATTCAATATTCTTGAAAATGTTGCTCTTTACTCTGTGTTGATCTTAACAGGCAGTCACGTACTGACTATTGTGATTTGAATATATTTATTTGTACAAAGAAATATAAATGTTATGGCGATTTTTAATTATGCAAAAAACTGTATCTAAAATATATATATATAATTATGCCATCGTGTTTCTCAGCGAATATACTTTTACTGAAGAAAATATTTATTTAACATTTTAAGTCAACAAGAGAAGTAATTTATATGTGCGGAGATGAGTTGAGATGTGAGTGACATGAATGTGATATGTGCGTGATGATGGAGGCTGAGAGTCAGAATATAATCAGAAACAAACAGGAAAAGTGAAGATAATGAGAATACGAGCATATAACGAAAAGGGAGCAGATGTAAAAGGTATGGACAAAGATAATCAGAAAGGAGAAAGTAGCACTGGACAGAGTGAAGTGAGTCAGGGCGATAGCGTCTAATGGAAGCCACAATACTATGGCTGAAACATTTCAAAATTTACCCACAAATCAGAAATGAAAACTGAACGACGCTTCGGTGTCTACTTCTTTGTACAGTTTTCATTTCGAACTTGTGCGTAAGTTGTGCATGTGATCTTACATGTGATGAGTTGTGTTTCGTTGTGGGGGTGTGGACAGAGGCGTCGCAGGAGTGTGGCGTTCTCATAAGCAGGATCCTTCATGGTCCAACCAGTCAACACAGCCTTGTTCAGCTGTAACACACGTACATCTCACTAACACCTTAATGCTCCAGAACATTTCTTAAATTATTTCCTAAGCTGAATAACCCGTACGGGTTTAGAACTTTTTAGCATAACAGTAATAAAAATAATAATAATAATAATAATAATAATAATAATAATAATAATAATAATAATAATAATAATAATAACAATAATAATTCTTAGCTCAGTTGCAACACAAATTTCAATAAGATCACTTTCGTGTGCAAGGAGTGGTGGAGGCTCGATGCTCAGTCTGGTGATCACAGTCCGGTTTCTGACCAAACAGGACGTTGGAAATCATTCTTAATATAATCATAATGATAAATACTAAAAGGGAAGAAATGCTATAGCAGCCAAGACAGGGGAAATCAAACAATCAAGACATGGAAATTGATCTACACTCCAAAACACCTAAATAGCATGTATAAATACACAAATAAACACTTGACAATGGAACAAACGAACACACATAGATAATCAGTCAGATAAGTACTGTACATTTCGAGCTTAAACTATTTACTGAAGAGGGCTTTAGTGCGATGCCGAAATTTGCAGTACTCCCGTTTTCTTGTGTTTAATTGTCTCCATCTGGGTTCGTCTGTATCAGTAAGTATTATTTAAGATGTACAAATATGTGTAGTAAACTTACAGTAACTATCTTATTGGTGAAAGGTTTAGTGATGCTCGAGAGGAGCTCGACCTGCATGTCATTATGCTCGAGAGTGACACCGGAGAGGATGGCCTTGGTGAGCACGTCAAGGTAGCCAGTAGCCACCTCAAGGGGCAGCAGCACCCCTACACACAGCCAGTTGAACATATCATGAACCACAGCACCAGCGAAGGCAAGCTCAAACTGTTCCCGGTCTCCCATCTGAAAGTGATGAGCAAGTCGAATATAGTAACATCTTTAGGGTCATTTAACACTTTATCCACGATAACCTAATAAAGCAAAGTAGTATGGTTTATAGCTACTTGGGCATTCTAATTGGATGCGATACCACAATAGTTGACTAACCTCGACTGAGGTTAGTCGACTATTGTGGTATCGAACCCAAATCTTTTTACCCTTATAAGCCAAATATTGGAATACTGAGCTATAGGACTGATGAGCAACCAAATGTGACATTTTAAGTCATATTTTACTATTTTGCCTTCTAATTTCTCTTACTGTATAGAGAATGTAAACAATGTAATGTATACAAAATTGAAGGGTAACGAGTGGGAGAACTTGAAGACTTACCTGGCCGATGCTGACCAAAGTATTGGTGACGGAGGTACCAATGTTGGCGCCCATGATGATAGGAATAGCTGTTGCCACGTCCAAAACTGCCAGAAGAAAATAAGTCATAATACTGTGGCAGTAACAAGTCAAAACTAAGTGCCACAGTCTAACAATAGTTCGGTCATGGTTTATTAGAATTAAAGCCTATCGACTACACGTCAAGGATATTTTAATCTTTAAACTAGGGATTAAATTAAACTCAGTGTATATACACTGAAAGATATATGTACATCTCTTAGTGCATATAATTTTGTATAAATCATTACATTCTTTCTACAGTTAATTTAGCTTATAACTGTCAATCTAAATTTTATGGAAATTTGGTGTAAAATAAATTTCAAAGGAAGGAATTTTGCTGGCACGAATTGTGAACCCAGTAAGTTTATTCAGGTATACACAAATACAGTTACATAGATTATCATACATAGTAGCATATGTGTAGAGAACCTGGGATAACCTAAAAAAGTCAGACAAAGTGACTTATTTCCATTAGGGTCCTTTTAATACCTTATTATTATGTTATGAAGGAGATAATATTTTATTATTATACTATAAAGGAGATATACTAGGAATAAGGTAAAAAGAGTTATTTGAATTTACATGTGTGCTAGCTAAATAAAATAAAATAAAATAAAATCATTCTCCTCCCTTTCTGTCGCTACATTTATTAGGTACCTTTCGGCTCTCTTCTTGAACTGGCTCATGCTATGACTGGCTTTGACTCGAGTAGCTGTGTAAAACGTGGTGTGTCCAGATTATCTAATATCTAAAACTTCCTTAACCATGTATAAGACGTATCAGGAAAACTTCAGAAATAGTCGTTAATATTTTTATTTTTTTTATTAACACACCGGCCGATTCCCACCAAGGCAGGGTGGCCCGAAAAAGAAAAACTTTCACCATCATTCACTCCATCACTGTCTTGCCAGAAGGGTGCTTTACACTACAGTTCTTAAACTGCAACATTAACACCCCTCCTTCAGAGTGCAGACACTGTACTTCCCATCTCCAGGACTCAAGTCCGGTCTGCCGGTTTCCCTGAATCCCTTCATAAATGTTACTTTGCTCACACTCCAACAGCACGTCAAGTATTAAAAATCATTTGTCTCCATTCACTCCTATCAAACACGCTCACGCATGCCTGCTGGAAGTCCAAGCCCCTCGCACACAAAACCTCCTTTACCTTCTCCCTCCAACCTTTCCTAGGCCGACCCCTACCCCGCCTTCCTTCCACTACAGACTGATACACTCTTGAAGTCATTCTGTTTCGCCCCATTCTCTCTACATGTCCGAACCACCTCAACAACCCTTCCTCAGCCCTCTGGACAACAGTTTTGGTAATCCCGCACCTCCTCCAAACTTCCAAACTACGAATTCTCTGCATTATATTCACACCACACATTGCCCTCAGACATGATATCTCCACTGCCTCCAGCCTTCTCCTCGCTGCAACATTCATCACCCATGCTTCACACCCATATAAGAGCATTGGTAAAACTATACTCTCATACATTCCCCTCTTTGCCTCTAAGGACAAAGTTCTTTGTCTCAACAGACTCTCTGCCAATCCCTAGGTACCTTACCCTCTTCCATACATTTATTAAATAATTGCACCAACCACTCCAAAACTATATCCCCACCTGCTTTTAACATTTCTATCTTTATCCCATCAATCCCGGCTGCCTTACCCCCCTTTCATTTTACCTACAGCCTCACGAACTTCCCCCACACTCACAAGATGTTATTCCTCCTTGCCCTATACATGAAATCACAGCTTCCCTATCTTCATCAACATTTAACAATTCCTCAAAATATTCCTTCCATCTCAATACTTCTAACTCTCCATTTAATAACTCTCCTCTCCTATTTTTAACTGACAAATCCATTTGTTCTCTAGACTTCCTTAACTTGTTAATCTCACTCCAAAACTTTTTCTTATTTTCAACAAAATTTGTTGATAACATCTCACCCACTCTCTCATTTGCTCTCTTTTTACATTGCTTCACCACTCTCTTAACCTCTCTCTTTTTCTCCATATACTCTTCCCTCCATGCATCACTTCTACTTTGTAAAAACTTCTCATATGCTAACTTTTTCTCCCTTACTACTCTCTTTACATCATCATTCCACCAATCGCTCCTCTTCCCTCCCACACCCACTTTCCATAACCACAAATTTCTGCTGAACACTCTAACACTACATTTTTAAACCTACCCCATACCTCTTCGACCCCATTGCCTATGCTCTCATTAGCCCATCTATCCTCCAATAGCTGTTTATATCTTACCCTAACTGCCTCCTCTTTTAGTTTATAAACCTTCACCTCTCTCTTCCCTGATGCTTCTATTCTCCTTGTATCCCATCTACCTTTTACTCTCAGTGTAGCTACAACTAAAAAGTGATCTGATATATCTGTGGCCCCTCTATAAACATAAACATGTACATCCTGAAGTCTATTCAACAGTCTTTTATCTACCAATACATAATCCAACAAACTACTGTCATTTCGCCCTACATCATATCTTGTATACTTATTTATCCCCTTTTTCTTAAAATATGTGTTACCTATAACTAAACCCCTTTCTATACAAAGTTCAATCAAAGGGATCCCATTATCATTTACACCTGGCACCCCAAACTTACCTACCACACCCTCTCTAAAAGTTTCTCCTACTTTAGCATTCAGGTCCCCTACCACAATCCCTCTCTCACTTGGTTCAAAGGTTCTTATACATTCACTTAACATCTCCCAAAATCTCTCTCTCTCTCTCTCCTCTACATTCCTCTCTTCTCCAGGTGCATACATGTTTATTATGACCCAGTTTTCGCATCCAACCTTTACTTTAATCCACATAATCCTTGAATTTACACATTCATATTCTCTTTTCTCCTTCCATAACTGATATTTCAACATTACTGCTACCCCTTCCTTAGCTCTAACTCTCTCAGATACTCTAGATTTAATCCCCTTTATTTTCCCCCACCGAAACTCCCCTACCCCCTTCAGCTTTGTTTCGCTTAGGGCCTGGACATCCAACTTCTTTTCATTCATAACATCTGCAATCATCTGTTTCTTGCCATCTGCACTACATCCACGCACATTCAAGCATCCCAGTTTTATAAAGTTTTTCTTCTTCTCTTTTTCAGTAAATGTCTACATGTAGACAGCCTGTACTGTCTGCATAGACAGCTTATGCTGTCTGCCAGCTTAGTTCATATTTCGTGCCATGCTGGTGCTGCCACCTATAGGTCTTGCCACTTCAGTATGCCCAGACTTGCCTCTGTCTCACTCTGGCGACACCCTTCACTCAGATAAGAAGTGTCCACTCCTCTCTCCCTCGTGGGCATGGCCCCTCCCGGGCCATGGGCACAACACACAAGCCTGTGTACCCACCACTACATTACAAATAAAGTAAGAAGCCTCTGAAGATTTATCATTTAACCACCTGCTTTCAGCTCTACCAAATAAACTCATTAAACATTGGTAGCAGCGGTGGTCGCAGCAGTTGTGTTTGCCCGGAGAGAGGAAGGAAGGAATGAAGTCATCTTCACTTCATCACCCCATGTAAGAAGCATCCGTCTCTCAACGAGTTATCCTGATGTCGTGTCTGCACGTTTGAGCATCCAGACACAGGTACAAGCAGGATCCAGCCGAAATTTGCTGAATTTCTTCGAGAATTGTAAGTGGCGTCCCAGTGACCCCGCACTACAGCGTCCCATGCTGTTTCTCAAGTCACGTGTTCAGCGTCACTTGTATGTTGCTGTTGTTGTTCAGCTCAGCACAGCTGTTTCAGCAAGCCAGAGGTGAGTTTTGTGGTGATTTCTGCGTCCAGTGTGAGCTTCTCCGCGTGTTTGTGGGTGGGGGAGGAGGAGGAGGAGGAAGTGGCCATTCCTCACCTTGCCCATGCTCGCCCTACTCATGCTCACCCGTCTACCATACACTCACCACTGCCCACTTCCTCTGCTGTTTTTTCGTGTGATTCATTGCCAGAGCTGTGTATCCAAGTGCCCGAGGTCACTCGAAGCTACGGGGATCAGCATGCCACGTAGATCACACCACATGGATCATGACGTCACGTGGGGTGTGGGCGATGTCACGTGGATCTACGAGCCACATGAGTCACTGAGCCAGATGTCCCAGGCCACATGCTGTGGTCTGCTGCCCGCATCACATTGACGTCACCGACGATGCTTCCCGACTTCATGACGTCACGATGCCTGCCTGACGTCACCTCGAGATGTCTGCTGACGTCACCTCGCGACATCACATGATATCACATCGAGTGTTCTAGTAATTATTTCAGTATTGTCGAGAAGATTGAGAGAAGATATATGTCGTGTGTTAATTAATTCCTCTCAGTCAGTGTTCTCACATGTTAGTGTACCACATGTACCGCGGGTGTGTGTAGTTTCCGTGTGTCCAGTGAGGTCTGAGCCAGACCTGAGTAGCACCACTGTGCTAAGTCACCCATGTGACCAGTGCATTTGACAGCTGTTATCAGTCAGCCCCTGAGCGTATGAGCCCCCTCGTACAGAAAGCTCTTATGCTCGTCGCTCATAGATGTTCTGCAGAATCGTACCTGCTACGATTCCCATCGAGATTTGTTTCACTTCACCTCCAGACCTTCAGAGTGCAGTTATATGTAGAGAAACAAGTCTGAGGATGCTTAGACTGACCTCTGCTATAACTCCAACTGCCGAGAGAATGACACTCATCAAGCCGCAGTTAGCCCTGTCAGCAGGCGCTGTGTCAGCCTCGTGTCACAAGCTTTAGTGAGCAGCCTGCACAAAGAAGATATCACTTTGACTGCTAGCTCTCTCACTGCAGTCTGGTGTATGAAGTTATGACTCCCAGATGTTTTGCCCAGTCGTCTCTGCCACAACTCGCTCCATGCTCGCCAGCAGTGACAGCCCAGCGACAGTACCAGTCGAGAAGTGTCCTCCTGAGTCACTTGCCAGAAGAAGTCCTGCTCAGTTGCCGAGTTTTGACGACGCCTCACTCGAGGGCACCAGCATGTTGTGCCCCAGGTTGAGTGAAAACTTGCAGCGACTCCTACGATGTCTGCTTCACCATTCCAGAGGAGACCGTAACCTGTTACGTCACAGCTCAGCCGCAGCAATGTCTCCTGTGTTGCAGTATCTGTCCAGACGCAGGAAGGCGTGCAGTGATGCCCTTCGACGTTCACTGCCTATGACCACGATGTTTAGCACACCCCACATGTTTTTTCTTCCCTCCCTGTAGGAAGTTTTTTTTCCATGTCCATATGTATATATATGTTTTTTATTTTGTGTTATGTGCCCTGTTCCTACGAGAGAGAAACCGAGTTTGTTTTACCGCCAGACATGGTCGGGTCGACCATGTGGTAGGTGGCCGAGTGTATGTAGACAGCCTGTACTGTCTGCATAGACAGCCTATGCTGTCTGCCAGCTTAGTTCATATTTCGCACCATGCTGGTGCTGCCACCTATAGGTCTTGCCACTTCAGTATGCCCAGACTTGCCTCTGTCTCACTCTGGCGACACCCTTCACTCAGATAAGAAGTGTCCACTCCTCTCTCCCTCGTGGGCATGGCCCCTCCCTGGCCATGGGCACAACACACCACTACATTACAAATAAAGTAAGAAGCGTCCGAAGACGTATCATTTACTTCCCGCTACCAGAACACCAAACAAACTGGTTATATACAGGAGAAGGGGTTACTAGCCCATCGCTCCCGGCATTTAGAAAAAGGAGAAAAACCTAGATGTATGTATATATATATGCATGTGCGTGTCTGTGAAGTGTGACCAAAGTGTAAGTAGGAGTAGCAAGATATCCCTGTTATCTAGCATGTTTATGAGACAGAAAAAGACACCAGCAATCCTACCATCATGCAAAACAGTTCCAGGTTTCTGTTTCATAGTCATCTGGCAGGACGGTAGTACTTCCCTGGGTGGTTGCTGTCTACCAACCTACTAATATTATTATTATTAATCAAAGAGGTACCCCTGAGGAAATGCCAGTGACTTACTAGAGAGCTTGCCGAGCTCAGAGATTTTTGGTGGGAGGAACAAGTACTACCAGAGGAATTAATCATATTCTGGCCTAAAGAAGGAATCTGTCAATTGGATCAGGGAAGTAACTAATACTTCATGTTAAGGCTTGAGGAGTGACCACACAGGACCGGCCGGTGGAGGACCTGTAGTGTTTACTGTTTGAGAGGCTGGAAATTAAAGCACAGATGAGTCTCGGGGATGTTAGGAAATACTTCTTTAGCCCTAGAGTAGTCAGTAAGAAGAACGACTTACACAGCGAAGTGGTAAAGGCAGAATCCATACATAACTTTAAGAATAGGTCTCATAGGCTCACGCAGCCAAGAGGCCAGCAGAGCTCAGGAGCTGAGACTCAACCCCTGCAACCACACTTAGGCGAGTACAATGAAATGAGTACATCAAAGTAGAATATTAAGAAAAGTGAGTGAAGCCATGTTAACAACGTGCTGAGGAAAAATACCATCTAAGTGAAAATAATAATTTTAGAGAATAATAATAAATTGGCGAATAAATGGAAGGTCTTCAGGTATGATGTGAGGAAGGGAAGTGTAGTTTTAATTACTAGAATGAAGAACCTATCAACATCAAGAATTGAGCATAGGTCGGCGACGAACGCCAGATATTAAGAGGGAATACAAAAATCTATTGCTGGTGTGATGATAAACAATTCCTGGATGGAGGATCGAACCTCCACCACTCATGACCCACATGGGTTTATAGTTTCCCATAATTATAATAATATATAATCATAGTAAATTTAACGCTGACAAGGATGAATGAAAATACGCGGCAGGTGCTCACAATTAGCAGCGACCGCGAAACAGGGAAGAGGTATTCCCAATTAGTAGTAACCATGAAATAGAGGAAAGGTACTAACAATTAGCAGCGACCATGAAATAGGGGAAAGGTATTAACAATTAGCAGCAATCATGAAATAGGGGAGCGGTGCTAACAATTAGCAGCAACCACGAAATAGGGGAACGGTGCTAACAATTAGCAACGACTATGAAATAGGGGAGAGGTACTAACAATTAGCAGCAACCATGAAATAGGGGAAAGGTACTAACAATTAGCAGCTACCATGAAATAGGGGAGCGGTACTCACAATTAGCAGCGTCTATGAAATAGGGGAGAGGTACTCACAATTAGTAGCGTCTATGAAATAGGGGAGAGGTACTCACAATTAGCAGCGACCATGAAATAGGGGAGCGGTACTCACAATTAGCAGCGTCTATGAAATAGGGAAGAGGTACTCACAATTAGTAGCGTCTATGAAATAGGGGGGAGGTACTCACAATTAGCAGCGACCATGGAGACAATGATGGAGGTGGAGGTGGAGGAAGATTGCACCAACACAGTCACCAACACTCCCATCATGAGCCCCACCACGGGGTTACTCAACACCTGTGACTGCTGGAACACCGTACCTGCAACACAACGTCTGGGTTTGTAATGTGGAGAGATGGGGTCCTAGTAGTAGTAATAATAGCAGCAGTAGCAGTAGAAGCAGCAGCAATAGTTTAATGCGTTTGGTTTAAAGCCTATCAACTGCACGTGGGTCATTAAGGCTGCAATTCTCCAGTGCATTAACATCACAAATACATAAGTGAGGCTTATATAAAATACTGAGAAACATGAATCTTCTCTAAAATACTGATAATATTAATTTATTGTACACACACACATACACGCCAGGAGCTATTACTCAACCCCTGCAACCACAATTAGGTGAGTATTAGGTGAGTACACACACACACACTTACGGATAGCGTTCCGATACCTCAGTAAGGATTCGTTCAAGACTCTGCATACCATTTACGTCAGGCCCATGCTGGAGTATGCAGCACCAGTTTGGAATCCACACCTAGTCAAGCACGTCAAGAAATTAAAGAAAGTGCAAAAGTTTGCAACAAGACTAGTCCCAGAGCTACGGGGATTGTCCTACGAAGAAAGGTTGAGGGAAATCGGCCTGACGACACCGGAGGACAGGAGGGTCAGGGGAGACATGATAACGACATATAAAATACTGCGCGGAATAGACAAGGTGGACAAAGACGGGATGTTCCAGAGAAGGGACACAGACACAAGAGGTCACAATTGGAAGTTGAAGACTCAGATAAATCAAAGGGATGTTAGGAAGTATTTCTTCAGTCATAGAGTAGTCAGGCCGTGGAATAGCCTAGAAAGTGACGTAGTGGAGGCGGGAACCATACATAGTTTAAAGGCGAGGTATGATAAAGCTCATGGGGCAGGGAAAGAGAGGATCTAGTAGCAATCAGCGAAGAGGCGGGGCCAGGAGCTATGACTCGACCCCTGCAACCACAAATAGGTGAGTACACACACACACACACACACACACACACAAGTGGAATAGCCTAACAAGTGATGAAGTGGAGGCAGGAACCATACATAGCTTTAAGACGAGGTATGACAAAGCTCTGGAAGCAGAGAGAGAGAGGACCTAGTAGCGATCAGTGAAGAGGCGGGACCAGGAGCTGTGTCTCGACCCCTGCAACCACAATTAGGTGAGTACAATTAGGTGAGTACACGCACACGCGCGCGCGCGCACACACACACACACACACACAACACTGAAACAAAGCTCATGGGAGTAACAGATGCTATCTTTCCATTCGGATATCAGATCCTGAGGAAAGGTAGAGGAAACAGAAGGGTGGGGGAGAAGTTGCACTACTCATCAAAAACCAGTGAAGATTTGAGGAGATAGAAGGAATGGACAGAAGGGAAACAAGGGACTACATAGTAGGAATACCCAGGGCCGGATTAAGAAGTCTCCGGGCCCTAGGCTATTCAGATTGGCGGGGCCCCTTTGAGTTACGGGTAAGCGAAGCGACCCATTCCAGCTTGGGGGTGGGGGGGGGGGGGTCGGTGTGAGCCTGTTTAAGATCTAATTAAATACATTCTGGCTATTTAGATTAAATTTAATAGGGAAAGTACATCATGACAACCAAAACCATTTACCAACAGCCATTATAACTATCTTGCTAAATCATGCATTTTAAAGAGAATAAACTCAAGACAGAATAGTATTACTAGATTAGGCTATTAAAGTAGTGACATCATGTACCTATTATATTCAGCATAATCACTACAGCACTATTATTCCCTTTATAAATCACTGACCATTATTGTTATCATTGCATCATGCATAAGACTATCAAATTATATAAACTCAAGAAAGTAAAGAATTGTTTATATTCACAGGCACTTCTTAAATAACTTTTTTCTGGATTTCATATTGGCAAAATCATCAATTATATTCTGAAAATCAATATTTCTTGTTAGATCAGACTCAATGGTCAACAAGGCTAGGTTACACAATTTGTCTTGGCTCATTGTTGAACGGAGCTGGTTTTTCACTCTTTTCAAAACAGAAAATGAACGTTCTCCTTCACAGTTAGTAGCTGGAAGTGTTAGGTAAAGGCGATACACTATGTCAACATTAGGGAAGGTTTCTGAGATACCTGCATTTCTTAAATGTTTCAAAGCAGCTGAGGGCGCACATTTTTCAGGTGGAGCTTTAATCTGATTCATATACCCAGAAAAATGAACTATTTCTTCAACAAATGTGTCCTGAACATCTGCTGAAAGGTGTTGTTGCAACTTTAATGCAGCTTCTCTGGTGGTAGCACTTGCAGACTCGATTGAGAAGGCCATTGGTGAAATGCCTATGATTTTAAACTGATGGAAGATAGAGGTATGGGTGTGTGTGGGAAACAAGCAGGTTGCAACACTAGGGTTGGAAACAGTAAATGTATAAAAGGCATTCAGCATGAAGTTATAAATAAAGACAATAGAACAGGTCAGCAAACAAAGGGGGACAGCAGAGGGCAGCAAGGGACTAGCTCCCTTAAGGTTTACTATACTAATAGCAGGAGTGTTAGAAATAAGATAGATGAGCTAAGATTAATTGCAAGTGCAGGAAACATAGATATTATTGCTATAACAGAGACATGGCTCAATCTGAAAGATAGAGAGATGCCCTCTGAATGTCACATACAAGGCTATAAATTATTCCACACTGACAGGGTCAACAGGAAAGGTGGTGGAGTAGCGATGTATGTCAGAGACAATTTAAATTGTTGTGTTAGACAAGATATTAAATTAGAAGCGTCAGCCACTGAATCTGTTTGGTTACAGCTTCTCGAGGGCCGAGAAAAACTAATTTTGGGTGTGATTTACAGGGCCCCAAATCTTGATAGGGAGTGCAGTAAACTTCTATGGGACGAAATTCGTAAGGCATCTACACACGAAAATGTTGTGCTAATGGGAGATTTCAACTATAGACAGATTGACTGGAGCAATTTGACAGGAAATTTAGAGTCGGGTGACTTTCTTGATACGATCCAGGATTGTTTTTTAAAACAGTTTGTGACAGAGCCAACTAGGGGAAATAACCTCCTTGACTTGGTTCTTGCCAGTAGGGAAACACTAATTAATAATCTTGAGGTTAATGATGAGCTTGGGGAGAGTGATCACAAATCACTCAGTTTTAACATATCATGGAATTCCCCTAATAATGGCAATCAAGTCTCCGTCCCTGACTTTCGCTTGGCTGATTTCATAGGACTGAAAAATTACTTAGGTGGGCTGAACTGGAATGACCTGACTAAGGGTCAGGTAGGTGGTGATGGTTGCCGATATGATGCTTTCCAGGGCATAGTTCTAGCTGCTCAGTCAAATTATGTTCCAAATAGGGAAATCAGATCAAACAAAAATGATCCTAAATGGATGAACAATAGATTAAAATATCTGATTGGTCAAAAGAGAGGCATATATAGGCAAATCAAAAGAGGAGAGGGGCAATTAAGAAATCGATATATTCAGTTAAAGAGAGAAATAAAAAAGGGAATTAGAAAAGCAAAAAGAGATTATGAGGTTAAAGTTGCAAGAGAATCGCAGACTAACCCAAAAGGATTCTTTCAGGTATACAGAAGTAAGATCAGGGACAAGATAGGCCCACTCAAAAGTTCCTCGGGTCAGCTCACTGACAGTGATAAGGAAATGTGTAGAATTTTTAACACATACTTCCTCTCAGTTTTTACACAGGAGGATACCAGCGATATTCCAGTAATGATAAATTATGTAGAACAGGACGATAATAAACTGTGCACTATTAGGGTCACAAGTGACATGGTCCTTAGGCAAATAGATAAATTAAAACCTAACAAATCCCCAGGCCCTGATGAACTGTATGCAAGGGTTCTAAAGGAATGTAAAGAGGAGCTTAGCACACCTTTGGCTAATCTTTTCAACATATCACTACAAACTGGCATGGTGCCAGATAAGTGGAAAATGGCAAATGTGATACCTATTTTCAAAACAGGTGACAGGTCCTTAGCTTCGAACTATAGACCAATAAGCCTAACCTCCATAGTGGGAAAATTTATGGAATCAATAATTGCCGAGGCAGTTCGTAGCCACCTTGAAAATCATAAATTAATCAACGAATCTCAGCATGGTTTTACAAAGGGGCGTTCCTGCCTTACGAATTTATTAACTTTTTTCACTAAGGTATTTGAGGAGGTAGATGATGGTAATGAATATGATATTGTGTATATGGACTTCAGTAAGGCTTTTGACAGGGTCCCACATCAGAGACTATTGAGGAAAATTAAAGCACATGGAATAGGAGGAGAAATTTTTTCCTGGATAGAGGCATGGTTGACAAATAGGCAGCAGAGAGTTTGCATAAATGGGGAGAAATCAGAGTGGGGAAGCGTCACGAGCGGTGTTCCACAGGGGTCAGTGTTGGGCCCCCTGCTGTTCACAATCTACATAAACGACATAGATGAGGGCATAAAGAGCGACATCGGCAAGTTTGCCGATGACACCAAAATAGGCCGTCGAATTCATTCTGACGAGGACATTCGAGCACTCCAGGAAGATTTGAATAGACTGATGCAGTGGTCGGAGAAGTGGCAGATGCAGTTTAATATAGACAAATGCAAAGTTCTAAATGTTGGACAGGACAATAACCATGCCACATATAAACTAAATAATGTAGATCTTAATATTACGGATTGCGAAAAAGATTTAGGAGTTCTGGTTAGCAGTAATCTGAAACCAAGACAACAGTGCATAAGTGTTCGCAATAAAGCTAATAGAATCCTTGGCTTCATATCAAGAAGCATAAATAATAGGAGTCCTCAGGTTGTTCTTCAACTCTATACATCCTTGGTTAGGCCTCATTTAGATTATGCTGCACAGTTTTGGTCACCGTATTACAGAATGGATATAAATTCTCTGGAAAATGTACAAAGGAGGATGACAAAGATGATCCCATGTATCAGAAACCTTCCCTATGAGGATAGACTAAGGGCCCTGAAACTGCACTCTCTAGAAAGACGTAGAATTAGGGGGGATATGATTGAGGTGTATAAGTGGAAGACAGGAATAAATAAAGGGGATGTAAATAGTGTGCTGAAAATATCTAGCCTAGACAGGACTCGCAGCAATGGTTTTAAGTTGGAAAAATTCAGATTCAGGAAGGATATAGGAAAGTACTGGTTTGGTAATAGAGTTGTGGATGAGTGGAACAAACTCCCAAGTACCGTTATAGAGGCCAGAACGTTGTGTAGCTTTAAAAATAGGTTGGATAAATACATGAGTAGATGTGGGTGGGTGTGAGTTAGACCTGATAGCTTGTGCTACCAGGTCGGTTGCCGTGTTCCTCCCTTAAGTCAATGTGACCTGACCTGACTAGGTTGGGTGCATTGGCTTAAGCCGGTAGGAGACTTGGACCTGCCTCGCATGGGCCAGTAGGCCTTCTGCAGTGTTCCTTCGTTCTTATGTTCTTATGTTCTCTCAATTCTGCATCTGGCATAGTAGTAATTTTGAACAGAAATCCAAATTTGTCATTGAGATTCTGGTAGATTTCTTTTCTTTTCACCAATTCTGTAATCAGTGAATCCAGAATGACGAAGTATGTAGCTGTCTTACATTTCTTCAGTTAATTTGTCACAGTACAAGTCTAGATAACGCGTAATTACTACAGAAAATTGGAGAGGAATCTCCCATACTCACCCATTAGCGGGAAAACACAGCTGTTCTGATGTAAACAAAGGCGTGTTGAGTGTTGCCATCTATGGTTAGGTTTATTTATTTTTATTTTATTTTATTTCATTATTTATTTTTGTTTTGATTAATTTTTAAAAATAAATTTTACTCTCCAAACACTTGAACTTTTTAGGTAGGGACCCCTTTGCACTTGCACCATGTGCGCAGTCTTGGATGAGCCCCTGAACCCCTTGGACTGTGGGGCCCCCAAATGCACGGGGCCCTATGCAAATGCCTAGTTTGCCTATGCGGTAATCCGGCCCTGGATACCTCAAACTGGGGTTCCCATGGTGGCGATTGCAGTGATGCACAACCCGCCACAGAATAACAGGAGGCCAAAACGAGTATGACGAGAGAAACAGAGCAATGGTGGACACACTAGCTGAGGTGGCCAGAAATACCCACATGAGTAGGGCAAATTTACTCGTTGTAGGTTATTTCAATCACAAGGATTGATTTGGAAAACCTAGAGCCACATGAGAGAACAAAAATGGGGAGGGCTAAGATGATTGAGGTGGTACTGGAAAACCCTCATGCATCAACATGTTAAGGACACTACCAGAGAAAGAGGAGAGGATGAACCAGCAAAGTTGGATCTCATATTCATCCTGAGTAGTTCAGACATTGAGGACACCACATATGAAAGGCCCCTTGGAGCTAGCGATCACGTGGTCCTGAGCTTAGAATACATTGTAGAATTAAAAGTGGAGAGTGAAGCAGCACAACCTGTCACACACTGCAACTTCATGGAGTCATGGTTCAAAGGACATCTCCATAACCTTCTTCACTATTACTAACCTGTCCCTTGGGTATGACCAACTTCCACTGAGAAATCCTGCCTATCAATGACAATGTCTTAGTCTGCTACCCGGCCCTTACGACTTGATGCCAATATATAAGCACCAGCCTTTTTGCCTGTGCTAAACACAACAATGGTTATAATTCTGACGGTAATTTTTTAAATGTGTGGGCCGGTAAACCAGCGAAAGCCTCGGCCAGATGGCCAAAAGCTCCAACGGCGGGTTATTATCTGACCAAACCCGTGTCAGGAAACACTTATCCTGTTTCCTGACGAACCTTACCTAACTTTGCCTGTGCTCCAAATTCTTCACGATTATGGTGCTCTTCACACAAACTCTTTTATATATAGCTCTACTGTCTTCAAATTATGTCATTGAATTTGTATGGATAGAACAACTGGATGGTGAAATGTCTACAATAAAGATACCCAGATGTTGTATATGTGTCTAATTTTCATCAAAAGAGGGGACTACACAGGCATGAGGAATTTCCTGCATGAGGTATAGTGGGAAAGAGAACTGGTGGGAGAAGTAAATGAAATGATGGAATACGTGACCACAAAATGCAAGGAGGCAGAGGAAAGGTTTGTACCCAAGGGCAACAGAAACAATGGGAAGAGCAAAACGAGCCCTTGGTTCACCCAAAGGTGCAGAGAGGTCAAAACTAAGTGTACCAGAGAATGAAAAAAGTATAGAAAACAAAGAAACCAGGAAAATAAGGAGATTACCCGAAGAGCCAGAAACGAATATGCATGGAGAAGGAGGGAGGCCCTGCGGGAGTATGAGAATGACGTAGCAACAAAAGCCAAATCTGACCCAAAGCTGTTGCACAGCCACCTCAGGGGAAAAACAAAAGTTAAAGATCAGTTATTAGACTGAAGAAGGAAGAAGGGAAGATCATAACACGAAATTTAAAGAAGTATTTTCAGTGGACATAAAAAGGACTTTAGCAAACCTGGATGGAAGTGTTGTGTGTACACACTATACAACTGAGTAGAGGGTGAAGAGGCTGCTAAATGAACTAGATACCTCAAAGGCAGTGAGACCGGACAACTTCTCTCCGTGGGTCCTGATTGTCACTAACAACAATCTACAGCACAACTATCGAAACAGGGCAACTACCTGAGGTGTGGAAGACAGTAAATGTAGTCCCCATCTTTAGGAAGACAGAGGCAGCATTAAACTACAAACCAGTGTCACTGACGTGTATAGTATGCAAAGTCATGGAGCAGCTTATCAGGAGAAGACTGATGAAGCACCTAAAAAGGAATGAGCTTGTACACAATAACCAGCACAATTTCAGGGAGAGGAAATCCTGTCACAAACCTAAGGTTTTACCACAAGGTGGCAGAAGTACGGTAGGAGAGAGAGGAATTGGGTAGACTGCATTTTCTTGGATTGTGAGAAGGAATTCGACACAGTTCCTCACAAGAGACTAGTGCAAAAGCTAGAGGATCAGGCACGCATAACAGGAAAGGCACTGCAGTGGCTCAGAGAATACCTGACAGGAAGAAAACAAGTCATGTACGTGACAAGGTGTGAGAGTGGACGCCAGTGACGAGCGGGGTTCCACAGGGGTCAGTCCTAGGGCCGGTGCCGTTTCTGGTATATGTGAATGACACGACGGAAGGGATAGACTCAGAAGTGTCCCTCTTTGCAGATGATGTGAAGTCAATGAGGAAAAATTAAATCGGATGAGGATCAGGCAGGACTACAAAGGGACCTGGACAGGCTGCAAGCCTGGTCCAGCAACTGGCTCCTGGAATTTAACCCCACCAAATGCAAAGTCATGAAAATCAGGGAAGGGCAAAGAAGACCACAGACAGAGTACAGGCTAGGGGGCCAAAGACTGCGAACCTCACTCAAGGAAAGGGATCCTGGGGTGAGTATAATACTGAGCACATCTCCTGAGGCACACATCAACCAGATAACTGCTGCAGCATATGGGTGCCTGGCAGGCCTAAGAATAGCTTTAGGACACCTCGGTAAAGAATCGTTCAAGACTCTGTACACCGTTTACGTCAGGCCCATATTGGAGTATGCAACACCAGTTTGGAACCCACACCTGGCCAAGTACGTCAAGAAATTAGAGAAAGTGCAAAGGTTTGCAACAAGACTAGTCCTGGAGCTAAGGGTAATATCCTATGAAGAAAAGTTAAGCGAAATCGACCTGACGACACTGGAGGATAGGAGGGTTAGGGTTGATATGATAACGACATATAAAATACTGCAAGGAATTGACCAGGTGGACAAAGACATGGTGCTCCAGAGATGGGACACAACAACAAGGGGTCACAATTGGAAGCTGAAGACTCAGATGACTCATAGGGATGTTAGGAAATATTTCTTCAGTCATAGAGTTGTCAGGAAGTGGAACAGTCTAGAAAGTGACGTAGTTGAGGCAGGATCCATACATAGTTTTAAGATGAGGTATAATAAAGTTCATGGAAAAGGAAGAGAGAGGGCCTAGTAGCGATCAGTGAAGAGACGGGGCCAGGAGCTGTGAATCGACTCCTGCGACCACAATCAGGTGAGTACACACACACACACACACACACACACACACACACAATCAGTGTAGTGGTCACTTGTGTCGATACACTGACATACACGAAATGAACTGAGATTCTGATAGATAAATCTTTAATGTGCCGTTAGTAAACAGTGGTTGTAGCCTGCATAATGCTGTATTAATTTGGTGTTAGTGACAATTTAATATGAATTGATATTCTGGGAGAAAGTTGAATATCAAGGTGATTTATAACTAAACTCACATGTGAAATAAAAACTGGACGAGTTTCGGTCCACCCTGGACTGTTATCAAGTTTCTCAATATTGGTCCAGGATGGATCGAAACCCTGTTCGTTTTTTTCTTTGTCAGTTTGTGGGTTAGTTGTGAATGGTTTCAGCCACGGTATTGATTTTTCTTCTAGAGTTTATATACTGAGAGAAATAAATACCAGAATTGCTATAGTGAGGAAATATAATATTAAAATTTATACACTGGGGTAATTTGAATAACAACTGATTTACTTAAAGAACCGAATACCAGAGTTTATATACAGAGGAAACTGATTACCGAGGTTGATATACCCAGGAAATTTAATACCCGAGTAGATATACTGAGGAAATTGATCATCAAAACTGATATACTGAGATAATGGAATACCAGATTTGATATACTGAGGTAACTTAATAAAAGAGATGATATAATAAGGTAATTGAATGCCAGGGTTGATCTACCGAGGGAACTGAGAACTGAACACCAGAGTTGATATAAAGAAATAGTTAAATCTAAAAGTGGTATACTATGAGACCGTTTAATAACGAGAGTGGTATACTGATAGTCAGTTGAGTAAAAGTGATATACCGAGAGGCATTTAAACTTGGAGCTGATATACTACATGACTGCGTGACGTTAGTCCTTAAAGGAAGAACAACTAAACACGAGAAGGGTAGGTAGTACTCACTAGCTGTCCTGCCGCCCAGGAGCCTGAAGGAGCTGGCTAGCAGCTTGAGGGAACACACGAAGAGGTAGAGGAGACCCACTAGGACGGCTAGTTTGAGGCACACCACAGCTGCCCTCACCCCTGTGCCTCGCCCACACACTCCTCCATCTTCCCCTGCTGCTGCTGCAGCTGCTGTTGCTGCTGATGCTGCTAGTGGACAGTACATAGCGAGATTAGCGGTTATTGATTGATCCAGCTTGATTAAGATCCGACACTGAGCTTGTTGTTACAGTGTGGACAGAATAGTCAGATATTCATATTGAGAGACCCAGTGGAAATAAGTCACATTGTTTGACTATTGGGCTATCCTAAGTCAAAACTATATAATGCAATTTTTATGCGCTTAAAACATTCGTACCCTCAAGACTATTGCAATTTTTGTTTTTTGTCTTTTGTACCCAAATCCTAAATAAAAACTTTGCTAACATGCATTGTATAAAGACATAAGAGAATGTAAACACATCCGCTCTTACACACAAGAAAACAACTCCCACTAAGCGTCCTTCAGGGGGTAAGAGGGGAGTATATTAATGCTGGTGAAGGGTTCTTGATCCAAGGAAGTGGAGATACCTTACCCTTTCTTGGATCGAAGTTAATTACCTCCCCCCTCCCCCCCCCCCATTCTCCAGGCGCTATGACCCCTACTGAATAAGCGTTTCTCAATATGGAGCTGAACACACACCAAGGTTGAGGGATTGACCACCTCAAACCTACTTCTTTATGGAGGCCGAGGGACTGATCACCTCACATCTCTGTATTTCGACTGAAGAAACCTGTTGAGCAGGCGAGCAATCTCGCCAATAAAGTTATCAAATTACTGCACATGTGTCTTGCTCATCCATAATTGTCACATTAAGGTGGACATGATTGTCTACATGTTAATGTATCAGTTCCTTCACCAACGAACTTAATAATTACAGTAACTTACATTCTTTTTGAAATAATACAGTGCAAATAGGACAGCAATTATCCCAGCTGTCTTTTGTTATTTAAGAATCCCGTTGGAAAAAGTCACAGTGTTTGACTTTATAATTTAGGATATCCTAGGTTATATCTACATAATGTACTGTATGTGTATACATTCTTATAACATCTATGTGCACTTACAACAACTATAAGATTTAAAATGTGTAAAACCATTTGTAGATTATTCTAAATATAAACTTAATGATACAAGTTAATATTCACTAGTGACCACCGGATGTCCGCCGCATCTAACACGTTATTAACAAATCTTTCCAGTGTTTTCCGGATGAGGAAGCTGGGAGCCAACCTCATCCCTCCTACAAATACATTTATTTTCAGACGTATGTAATTGTCTCTGCTTCTGAACGATCTAAGACCAGAATTAAATTAGTTGTTTTAAACTAGGTAATGTAAGGTAAGGTTCATTTACCTGGTAGTTTTGGGGGTTATTCTAGGTAATTAAAGCATATTAAACTATATATGAGAATTGTACTTATGTGTACTTGTACCTAAATAAACTTACTTATTCTCTACGAGTCCCAGTGAGAAGTAGCAATCTGTTCACCCCCCCCCTGGGCCCTACCCTCCTGGTAACCCCTCACCTCCACCACACCCCTTCCCTCGCATAACGGAGATAAAACACCTCAATTACTGGGAGCTCTTGAGGTTCCTAAACCTGTATTCTCTGGAACGCAGGCGGGAGAGATACATGATTATATACACCTGGAAAATCCTAGAGGGACTAGTACCGAACTTGCACACGAAAATCACTCACTACGAAGCAAAAGACTTGGCAGACGATGCAACATCCCCCAAATGAAAAGCAGGGTGTCACTAGCACGTTAAGAGACCATACAATAAGTGTCAGGGGCCCGAGACTGTTCAACTGCCTCCCAGCATACATAAGGGGGATTACCAACAGACCCCTGGCAGTCTTCAAGCTGGCACTGGACAAGCACCTAAAGTCGGTTCCTGACCAGCCGGGCTGTGGCTCGTACGTTGGTTTGCGTGCAGCCAGCAGTAACAGCCTGGTTGATCAGGCTCTGATCCACCAGGCCTGGTCACAGACCGGGCCGCGGGGGCGTTGACCCCCGGAACTCTCTCCAGGTAAACTCCAGGTAAACAGATCCAATTCCCTAAATCAACAGCCCCTCACCAACATCAAGGAACCTTCCTTGAGGGGCCATAGTTGGAAACAGCTACATAGTTGGAAGTGCAGTCAGTGATATGCATCGTTCCGGTAGGCTAGCCGGAGGTCACCCTGCGACGTCATCTCCCCTCTACTCTGGCAGTACAGCACGTAATGGTGCCGCCTAATATACTAGTAAGTATTTTTCCAATGTCGTCAATTGAAAAACACTAATTTTAGTATAGTCCCATGTTATCACAGTCACATGTACGTCATAATGTCAATAAGTATTTTTACATAATTATGTACATCAACAGTGTGCAGGTACCCCTAGGTTACCTGGAGTTTACCTGGAGAGAGTTCCGGGGGTCAACGTCCCCGCGTCCGGTCTGTGACCAGGTCTCCTGGTGGATCAGAGCCTGATCAACCAGGCTGTTACTGCTGGCTGCACGCAATCCAACGTACGAGCTACAGCCCGGCTGGTCAGGTACCAACTTTAGGTGCTTGCCCAGTGCCAGCTTGAAGACTGCCAGGGGTCTATTGGTAATCCCCCTTATGTATACTGGGAGGCAGTTGAACAGTCTCGGGCCCCTGACACTTACTGTACTGTCTCTAACGTGCTAGTGACACCCCTGCTTTTCATTGGGGGGATGTTGCATCGTCTGCCGAGTCTTTTTCCTGTAAATTAACTATATTACTGATCATCTTGTAACTTAACTATATTATTGGTCAACCCACATATTAAGAATATTACTGGAATTCCGTAAATTAACTATATTATTGATCTACCCGTCTATTAAGTATATTATTGGTATTCTGTAACTTAACTATATTATTGTTCAACCCGTATATTAAGTACTGGTATCCCGTATATTAAGTATATTATTGGTATCCTTTAACTTAACTATAATACTGGTCGTACCGTCTACAAATTTAAGGTACGAGTCTCGTCAGAGTAACTATATTAACAATCTCGCGGCTTTTTCCTAGTACCTTAAGCGTATTTTTCTAGAAGAAAGAAAAGGTTTTCTCGATGACAAAAGTGGAAGGACTTAAAGAAGACTTCGATCACTTTGCTATGGCTGCCAATGGACAAGAACTCTCTGGTGGCCTGAAGAGACCTCGCTCCACAACTCCTCCTCTCACTCCACCTTCCAAAAAGCCAAAATTGGATGAGAATGTCCTCCAGGAGAAGAGTACCGAACCATGGAAGCATTGCTGTCCCCCAGACAGTGAAGCAAAAACAGGTGGAGACACCTCTAGCGATACTGTTATCCCCGTGTTATCCTGGAGCAGCCTTGACATGAAGACAAAACTTGGTAGAGGGGCATATGGAGAGGCATGGGCAGCTCTCTTAAAACAAGATGATGGCTCCGCTACCAAGGTCGTCGTCAAGAGGCTCTTCGACGACGTTTATCTGAAAGAAGCTGTTAAGGAAGCCAGAGCTCTTCTCAAGGTTGATGGCGCCGGTGGAGCTCCCAAACTTTATGGCATGATTTACGATCCTTTAGCTATTGTCATGTCCCGCTGCCCCGGGGTAACTTTCGCAAAATTTATAGGAAAAAATTCCGCTGAAGATTGCTTTAAGGCATATAAAGCTGCTATAAGAGCATTAATGGATTTTCACCAGACCGGTTTTGCCCATAACGACATAACAGAATCAAATATAATGATTAGAAAACAAGGTCAAGATTACGTAGCACATCTTATTGACCTCGGCCTCGCAGTAGATAGAACATTAAAACCCAAACTTTACAAGATGAAAATTAAAGAAGATAAAAGTCGTCTAAAAGAAATTCGTGGGTTTATCATGCAGGACAAAAACATCAGAGAATGGTGAGTTGTCAAACCCAGGATCAAGATTCTACCTTGAGTTATGAAACCCAGGATCAAGATTCTACCTTGAGTTATCAAGCCATCAAGAAACTACTCCATCTGCCTACTTGGAGACAAAGCCAGAGTCTGTACAGGATATCTTGGACTAGGAAACAGAGTATAATATCGACCTAGAAGCTCTCCTTCACTGAACCAATCGTTCAGGACCTTCAGGGACGCCATCACTCGTAGTGATCAAACAACAACTACATCCACTGAAGAAGACCACCAAGTATATGAGGATATTTTCACGAATTAAAAAGTTTATTTTTTTAAGTTTTAAAGAAGGTAATATTATTATTTTTTTAAGTGAAAGGACTGATTTTAGTTGAGGTGATAGTAATAATAATTATATATTGGAGTTTGACTGTGTGAATAGTGCAGCTTAAGTGCTTTAGAAATAATGACGTGTATGGTAGTGTTTTATGGTGATGTGTATGGTAGTAATGTATGGTGATGTGTATGGTAGTATTGTATGGTGACGTGTTTGGTAGTGCTGTTTGGTGACGTGTATGGTAGTGATGTATGGTGACGTGTATGGTAGTTGTATGGTGACGTGTATGGTGGCGATGTATGATGACGTGTATGGTAGTATTGTATGGTGACGTGTATGGTAGTGATGTATGGTAATTTATATGGTGACGTGAATGGTAGTGATGTATGGTGAACTGTATAGTAGTGTTATATGGTGACGTGTATTGTAGTTTTGTATGGTAGTGCCGTATGGTGACATTGTGACGTGTATGGTAGCGTAGTAGTGATTTGTAGTGATGTATAGTTAGTAAACCGGTACCTGGGTGTTATTGGACTGGTGTGGGTCACATCCTGGCGACATAATTGACCTAATTTGCCTGAAATGCTCTACATAACAAGGTGCTTTCTATATAGTATGTTAGCATGGTCTGTACACGTATACGACAGCTACTTAATAGGAACAAAAACCAGCTGTATTTTACTCTTATATTCCCTCAAACAGTATGAGTTTAATATATCATGGACCGAAATAATTATATGCCACCATTTTTCTGGTCCATGACCATTCTAGGGTCGCTAAAAGACGGCAGTGACAACCTATCTGGCGCTCTTCACTTTACAAATAAAACAAACTAATTTGTAGATACAAATAAATCTTTGTTAACAATGAGTCTAAATTAAGAACTTTATAATTAAACACACTTGG